CTTTCACGTACTCGAAATCCCGTCTCTACTCATCGAGTCGGGCAACAAACTCGTCGAGTCCTTCTTGAAAAACTTGGAAAAATAAACATTAAATAACATACCAGAAATGGGGACGTTACACATAAGGACCATGTTCAGCCTGAACAACCATAACTGATAAATTGAATAAGATGGAAACAGTTTATAATGAACCATGGTGCCAAACCATACAATTTACTCTTAATCAGCTCCTTAGAATCCCCAAAATTTTCCTTGATTCGAGTATGGATCCTATGCCTCCAGTAGTACAAACACAATTCTACTTTCCACACACACACACACACACACATATATATATATATATATATATATATATATATATATATATATATATATATATATATATATACTTTCCTCAATAATCATCCTGAATTCTCTAAGTTACCTCCTCATAATGATACTACCAAAATCCGCTAAAAAACATACCTATCGTACTACAAAACTTCCTAGGCTCTCCTAGGATCCTAACCTTACCCTACCATCAGCTGTTAAAGAACTCCTACTAATGTCAGCCAACTACTTCATGAATACAATCACATGCAACAAAGTTTAGATAATCCTTCGAGTAAAAGACTCAGCCCTACAACAGTTAGACTCATACAAGAGTTGCGCAATAGAGCCAAATCCATCACTATGAGATTATTTAACCTTTGCAGCATGTGATTGAACATATTCACTTAATAGTTAACCTATATCAATAAGAGTTCCACAAAGCATAAAACAAGCAACATTCGTGCAATAACACTCCTAGCCATAACCAATCAAAGTATATCTTAGCTAGCTTGCTACTACCATGATAGGAACTTCAACTAACACCGCATGTTGCCTTATACATGCAAGTTATACACAAATGGGATCATATAGACTATCAAATGATGATTCTACCCTAAGTCCACATGCAGACAAGGAATAGGAAATTAGGCTAAATCAATCATTTTAGGGCTATATGATCCTAGTTGTATATAACTTCGAAAGAATACACTTAGCAGTTAACTAAGTCAATATCAATTCCAAGTAATACATAACAACCCATCCTCCTAGGCTATAAGGTATCAAACAAATCATCTAATTCTATCATATGATTCCTGAAGGTATCCCTAGCCCTACTCTAGCATGCAATTTCACATATCGAGCATACTGATCTCAACACATAAGTATGGGTAAGTTGGGAGCCACTTACTTGAGCTCAGCTAATAGCACACATAATACCCCTTTTTACTTGGTAAAATCTTTTTAAAATTATATTTCTATTTCCTTTGAAAATATTACCATTTCCTTAGTTTGAGTTCTGACACACCCGGGAGTGTGCCCGAATTCCTCAAACCAAGGCTCTGATGCCAACGTGTAACAACTCAAAACAGTGATAAAAGTTTTCATTTTAAAATCGATAGTTTCAATCATCAAATTGTTCTAAAACATTCACAATGTATAATATCAAAATTATCAGAGGAAGAATATCCAAAAAGTGCGAAAATCATGAGGGGAGAATGTTGTGCCATCACGTTGGGCCTTTTCCTTTCAAACCACAAGTACCTAAAATGATAAACATAAACTGTAAACACAAAACATAGTGAGTTCCCTAAAATACACATACCAAACATATATACATGGGCCCGCCCTGGGGTATATTTCAAGCCGATAAACAAATATGGGCTCTGGCCTGGGGTATGTTTCAACCCGATAATATGATACTTGTAATGTTGAGGGCCAGATCCCGGTCTTACATACAAGTGTCATGGGCTACCTACATGGTCTTTCCTTATAATGCTAAGGGCTAAATCCCAGTCTTACATATAAGTGTCATGGGCTACCCCCACGGTTTTTCATATAATTACCATGGGCTACCCCCATGGTCTTTCATGCAAGTATCACAAAGATAACCAACATCCTCCAATACTAATCCTAGTGGGTCGGTATTGGTGCCTTCGACACGCGGGTATAGTGAGGAGCCTCACCTCACCGATAGATGAAAAAGATGCAATAACACGTTACTCTAAAAACCAACTCTACCAGTCATCTTTCCAATTAACAGAACCAAAAATCATACTACAACTCAAAATATCCAAAATATCCCTAGGTCAAACTTTGGTCAAAATCTAGGAAGTTAGAGTCAAAGTTCAACCCAGCTAGTCGCCACATCATGGACTCCTTGGCCACGTCGTGGCCACAAAACGACAATTTAGGAAGGTCTTGACCAAGTCACCACGTGGTGGCAACCACAAACCTCATTTCCTTCAACTATAAAATATCTAAGGCTCAGATCTGGTCCTTCCCTTGGTCTTGATGGATAAACTTTCAAACTTTATCCCTCAAATCCTTCCATAAGCCAAAGTCCCAAACCCAATCACTATTGGTGATTTAATGCATCAAGATTCTCATTAACCACCAAATCCTTAGAGTTGCACCTCTACAGTTTTGCAGAATGGTTTCACATTCTAAAGTAATCTTAAAAATCACGGCTTTATGGACTTGCATGTCCAATACATGCCTTTTCCTTTTTAGTTAAAAAAATAGGGTTTAATATCTAAAATACCATGCATGACATCAAAACTTGATTATAATTCAGATCTAAGACACTAAATGCTCAAATTGACCTGTAGATTCATAAAGTTGCAAACTTTATGAGATCCCATCACTTAAGTCCATCAAAAGCATGGAAAAGGGGCAAAAACCAGATATCTAACAACATGGCAAGATAAGGTTGAGTCTTGGGCACTCACCAAGGTCCAAGGGATAGGCTTAGCTGAAAAAATGATGCTTGCCAAGTAACCACCTCACCAAGAGCTTCCCCCTCCTTCTAAAATCACCAAAAAACACTAAGAAGGAGCTCACAACTTCAATGGAGGCTAAGGTTAGGGTTTTTGAGTTTGGGAGGAAGATGGAGGCTGGAACCCTAGCCTTAATGTTCCTTATATATGGTCCAAGACCCAAAATTAAGGTTTTCACTTAAAACACCTACCATGTTGTGGTGTCCTATTACCACGTCGTGGCGAGTCATTAAAATCCCGCGAATCTAAAGTGTTCCCCACGTCATGGTGATGGTCCACCACGATGTAGTCTCCCAATTAGAAGTAAAAACATACAAAAATCAATTTATACATGGATTGGATGTTACATTTATTAATGATAAACAATTTGAAAAAAAAAGTTATAATACTTTTAAAAAAAAGGTTCAACGACACAAACATAAAATTTTTGACAAATTTATAAATAAAGATTTATTATAATAATGGTCGGTGAAGTTGTTTATATAAATATAGAAAAAAAATTATAATATATTTTTATATTTGTTGTGCCAAATTTTATAAAACGTTATTTAACACAGTCTCTTCAATTTATTGGAAGATATTTATGGGATATTTTTAATTGATTTAATTGAAAAATCCAAATTTAATTTTTATCCATTTATGTATCAAATTCTTTGATTCCTAATTACAATGTTTATGTATAACTTTGCGATCAAAATTGTTGGTACAATCTTTATTTTCACTTTTTATACAATAATACATAAAAGTTGATCTAAATTTGTTAATTATTTATAAAAAAATCATAAAAATATTAAAAAATTACTTTGAAGTTTAAAAAAATAAGTTTATTTAGATTTTAATTTATTTTAGTAGCCCGCAGATTTTAAAAAAAATAATCTTATTTTTTCAGAGTGTAGACGTTTGGTTTATCTTTTCTACTACAGAAGTTTATAGATGTAGTCTAAAGACAACAAATATTTTACCTCAAAAAAAAAAAAAAAAACAACACCTGAATCTATAAAAAAAAAAAAAATACGGTTTTATCTTTATTATAATCGAAAAGTGACGAATCACTAAGACCAGAAAGATCTTGTTTAGTTTTTAAAATGGTCCCCTAAAGTCTTAAATCCAAACATTCAGTACTTGGTTATTGTCTTAACTAAAAAAAAATTATTTTGCTATTGATTTTTTAATTTTTTTTAATAAACATATTCTAACTCATCTTCATCCCCCACCTTACCTTATGTACCATTTTTCTCTACTTAAGTAATAGTATTTTTAGGTAAAATACAAAAACCAAATGAGTAACAAAAATAAACAGTAAGATTAAAAGAGTAACAAAAATAAACAGTAGAAACCTTTCGAATTAAAAAAACAAATAAATTTGAAATCAAACATACAAATTACCCCGCATGGTTGTAATTTACTCTAAAATATTCTATCAACGTAATCCAAAAAATAATATATTATATTATTATTTACTTGTATCATAAGACTAATTTAAAATGTTTGTGCTTCATGATTGGGAACGGTCTAGAGATTTCTGGAAGGTGTCCTGTTTTAACCCACACACTACATCACACGTGCTCACACCAATCCGTATGCACACACACTACCACATACATTTTAGTAGTATTTTACTTCCACTTTATACTGAAATATCTTCAAATAAAACACGCATTTGCAGTTTGTACTGTACAAGTTTCACAGCATGATTCCAAGAACCTTCTTTGATATTTTATCCGGGAAAATGACTTAAAAGACCAACGAAATTTTCAAACCATTCAAAAAAACCCAATCATGTTTTGTCTGTTTAAAAAAATCCAACGAACTTAATATTTTGTCTAAAAAGTCCAACAAAGTTTCAAACCATTCAGAAAATTTCAATTTTGTTTTGTTTAAGTTCGTTGAGTTTTTTTTGAACGGTCAAAACATGATTGAAGTTTTTTAAACGTTTTGCAAACTTCGTTGGTCTAACAAGTCATTTTTCCGATACAGTAATAAGCCACGTCATCTGTTTCCCTTATTTGACTTTCGAGAAAATGTAACTTAGTTGGGTTTTTTAGATAAAATGTTAAGTTTGTTGGGTTTTTTTGAACAAACAAAACATGATTCAGATTTTTTAAACGGTTTGAAAACTTGTTTGGTTTTTAAATCATTTTCCCTATTTTATCCTCTAGAACTTTCTACTCCTTGTCCTATTAATACTCCGAACACCCATTTCGAGCTGATTAACGACATTCATCATTGACAAGACCTTAATCGAAGAGATTTCGTTGACAATGGACTTGAAAACTGAATTGCAAGGAGGAGCGAGTGTGAAAGAAGAGGAGGTTACATTTATATCGTCCACGATCACCACCGCAACCGCTGGTTCATCGTCTTCGTCTTCTTCACCGCGGCCGAGGGAAGGGTTGCATGAGGTAGGTCCTCCGCCGTTCCTGACGAAAACTTTCGATATGGTGGAAGATCCATCAACTGATTCGGTGGTTTCGTGGAGTAGAGGAAGGAATAGTTTTGTTGTTTGGGATTCTCATAAGTTTTCCACTACTCTGCTTCCGAGGTATTTTAAGCATGGGAATTTTTCTAGCTTCATCCGTCAGCTTAATACTTATGTAAGTCCATCTTCTCGATTCATACCTACATTGAGTCATGACAATCGGACGCTATTTGTTGTTTGCAAGGAATTCGATAAAACGATTTAGTAGCATTTCTTATATGTGTTAATGGTTGAATGTTGTAATAGTAGTTTTATCTGTGAAAAATCGTGTTGATTTCACGTTGCACTGCGTTTTTTTGTTGATCCTTCTTATTTTAGAATGCAATGCTTTTTTGTGTTCGTAGATTGATCATCTGTGTTGATTATTGAAACATCATCAATTAGGGCATATCACATTGTGCATCTTCAGATTTTTGTTTTCGTTTATTTCTGTTGTTCAAAATAATCGCTTTAATTTGGTACTGAATACGAAATTTGATGCAAATTGGATTCAGGGATTTAGAAAAGTGGATCCAGACAGATGGGAATTTGCAAATGAAGGATTTCTCGGAGGTCAAAGGCATCTTCTAAAAACAATCAGAAGAAGAAGAAACATTGCCCAATCCACTCAACAAAAGCATGATATTGGCCCATGTATCGAAGTCGGTCAATACGGAATCGAGGAAGAACTCGAAGGACTCAAAAGAGACCGAAGCTTATTAATGGCAGAAATCGTACGTCTAAGGCAACTTCAACAACATTCAAAAGACCAACTCATAGCCATGGAAAACCGATTACGATCCACCGAAAGAAAACAACACAACATGATGGGGTTTCTCGCAAAAGCATTTTCAAATCCCGAATTCCTTCAAAAATACATGGCTAAATACGCACACAGGGAACAAGAACACATTGAAATTGGTCGTAAAAGAAGGTTAACAATGGTGCCAAGCTTTGAGAATCTACAAGAAGTTGATGATGGTCTGGATTCATTCCTTGCGACCCCTGTTGAAGATGAATCAAGCAGCGATGTGGGAAATCAAGATGTTTCAAGCTTATTGGAAGACGATTCTAATTTATGGGAAGAACTATTGAAGATTGAGAAACACCCTGAAGATGTTCTTGATGATTTAGATGGTCAACAACTTGAATGGGATGAGGATTTACAAGAATTAGTGGATCAAATGGAGTATTTAAGGTCATCCAGCGCTTAAAATTATTGAGATTTTATTGTTTGTGGGTGTCTGCAAGTCCACGTCTTCTTTAGTACAAGTCAGAGATGCATATGATTCTTTAGTATCTCTGTGGTAAAATGTTAATTTGTTGTTTAAGTTTGCATGTTTGACAGTAATTTCTGCATCTGATGTACGTTTTCTATACAGCTGAGGAGATTGTGGATTTGCAAGGAGGCCAAGCTGCTGTTTTCTTGTATCCTTTTGTAGTTTTTATTCTATTTGCTGGATTTTCTTTTTCATTTTCTAAACTGTAAATTTATTTCGGGACAAAAAAGCCCTTGATTTATTACCTCTGTTTCTTGCAGGGGCCAAAGAAACAAGAAAGAGAAGTTGGAGGGGTAATATTAGAGCTGAAAGTGAAGGTGAATTCTGTTGGGTCAACTTTTTTTTTTTTGGGCAGTCTTGAAGTTTTTGTCCCATATTTGTACCAACATCAGAATGTTGTAATTTTTGTTTTGTTGATATTGGAATGTTATTTTTTTTTTATGATGAGGGTTTTAGAGGTGTATATGTGTTTTGTATATATTGTGGTGTGTAAATTTTAGACGGAATGGAAGTTTTTATTTCTTGTTCTATTAATCAGTAGGGTTCATAGGACTTCAAGTCGAGCCAAAATATCTTTTAAAAAAGGTTATACAAAATCAAATTCTGCTATCCTTAGATTCTTTTTAGAACGGCGAATATAAATACCCTTTTGTCACTGCTGCTGGAAAATGTGAACTTCTCTACTTTCTGAATCAAATCTACCTGCTACTTTTTAGTACAATCTAGACCATCCCCACTATCCCCAATGCCATTGAAAACCCTGAACTTCTCCACTTTCTTAATCAAATTCACCGGGTAGTCTCGCCCATTTAATATTTGTCAACCCATTTGGATTGTACATTCAATCCAATGACCCGAACAACGATTCAGATAATTTGTAGGCCCTACGAGACAATCCAGTTAGACCGAAGGTTCGGAGAGCGGTCTAGGCTGTAGGTCCTATGGAACAGTCTAGTCACGCTGAAGGTTCATATTGCATGTTGTTATCTGTTTGGTTGTGTATGGTGCTTTGTGGGAAATTTATTAGGGAAAATGATTTAAAAGGGTAATAACGTTTCAAAAACGTACAAAAAACATCATTATTCTTTTTTTAGTAAAAAAAATACCATTAAACCGGGTATTATAGGTTAGCCGGTTAAAAGATTTATTAGAATAATTGTGCCCTTACCTTTCGTTATTTCCCCCAAAATCAAGGGTTCCTTTTTTCCTTTTACTTCGTTCGTTCATCCTTTCCACAGAATCACAATGGATTCCAAGTTCACAATCGAAGTAAATCATACAGGTTCTTTTGTCCCCAAACTGATTGTGTATTTCAATCCAGTAAAAATGGTTGTTAGCAATGTCGATTTCAGAAGCATGAGTTTCATGGAGTTCATCTCGTATGTGAAGAACTTGGTTAAGGATGGAACAATCAATGTGTACTATTGTCTTCCACAACGTTCACTGAGAGATGGGTTAAGAATCTTGGAAGATGAAAATGATTATGTTCGTTTCCTTGATGCTGGGTATGAGAATGGGGGTATGATCAATTTGTACATTGATCACAGTCAATATCCAGTTATGGAGTGGATTGAAGAAGAGATAGCTGAAGATGGATCAGTAGATGGTAATACGGATGATGATGATGATGTAGACTATGAGCTTTCAGATGATGAGTTCGTGGAGCATGAGCCTGATGATGAAGTGATACAACTACAGCCATCTGATGATCCTTTCATTAGAAGAAAATTTTTCAAGCCTCCAAGAATTGTAGATGATGAGAAAGATGATAAGAAAGATGTCAAGAAAAATCTTCATAAGTATCCAGTTCATGATCCTAACCAAAAATGGGATACAATGTCTCCAATCTTAGGTATGTAATTCTGTGATCGTTATGAACTTAAGCATTTGTTAAGTAATTATGCTGTTGCTAATGGGTATAAACTGTGGTATGAAAAAAAATGATTCAACAAGATTATTAGTTAGATGTTGCAAAGGTTAAGAGAAGTCTAAATGCCCTTTTAGGTTGTGGGCAACTTGGATGAGTAAAGAAAGATCATTTCAGATTAAGTCCTTAATCTCTAAACATAATTGTAGTAGGGCCTTAAATTTAGGTTCAATGGTCACATATAGTTGGATTGGAAAACAGTTAATAGAAACCATAATAGATAATCCAAGAATTAGTTACAGGAAAATGGCAGTAGCAGTCCTTAGAGATTTTAATCTAAAAGTTAGTTTTGGACAGTGTAGAAATGCCAAAAAATTTGCAATGGATGAGATAGAAGGGAGCTTGGTGGCACACTATGAAAAGCTTAGAAGTTATGGTTTGGAGTTATTGAGGACTAATCCAGGTTCCACAGTGAAATTGGATGTGGATATCATGCCTGATTCTACAGTCCATTTTTCTAAGATGTATATTTGCTTGAAGGCTGTGAAGGATGATTGGATTGAGGGGTGTAGAAGAGTGATTGGTGTAGATGGATGTTTTTTAAAGGGACTTTGTAAAGGTGAGATAGTTTCAGCGGTTGGTAAGGATGCTAATAACCAAATGTATCCTCTAGCCTGGGCTGTTGTACCAGTTGAAAATAAGGCAAATTGGAAATGGTTTTTGGATCTATTACTTGAAGACATTGATATGGGACAAGGTAGAGGACTAACCATCATATCTGACCAACACAAGGTACTCAACTGTTTTTTCATAATAGTATTTCTATTTTATTTTTAACTTATAATGACATCAAAATGTTACTTAATAGGGACTGATTGAAGCAGTTAAGGAAAGAGTGCCAGAATGTGAGCATAGACAATGTGCCAGGCATGTTTATGCCAACTTCAAGAAAAAATTCTCAGGAGCTGAATACAGGAAACTTTTCTGGTTTGCTGCCAAGGCCACAAAAACCACAAAATTTGAAGACATCATGAAGGAGATCAAACTGATTGACAATATTGCCTATGAACACCTGATGGAAAAAAACCCAAACACATGGTCCAGGGCATTTTTTAGGGAAGATAGTGGTAGTGATGCCATTGAAAATGGTGTATCAGAGTCATTTAATGCAGCTATTGTGGAAGCTAGAAAAAAACCAATAATAGCAATGTTGGAAGACATTAGAGTGTATGTCATGGCAAGGATGTTTACTCAGAAAAGGAAGGGACTGAAGTGGAACTTGGACATTTGTCCCTCAATAAGAAGGAAGATTGAGGACATGAAGAAAATACAGAGGTATTTATACATTATATATATACATATATGTTACATTTCATAACAGGTGCAGTTGACTTACATAACTTATATGTTACATTTCATAACAGGTTTTGGGGAGTAATTCCAAGTGGTTTTCATCAATATGAGAGCAGATGGTTGAATGAGGTGTATGCAGTTGACTTACATAAAAGAACATGTGGATGTAGATCATGGCAGCTGACAGGTATACCATGTGTACATGCTATTTTTGCAATCTTGTGCTTGAATAGGAATATAGAGGAGTATGTAGCAAATTGGTACACAACACAAATGTTTGGAAGCTGCTACAAGTATAATGTTAAGCCAATTAATGGACATGAAATGTGGCCAGCAAATGATATGAATACCATCTTACCACCAAAGCGTAGAAGATTGCCTGGCAGACCAAAGACAAACAGGAAGAAATGCATTTCAGAAAGAAGTGACAGACACACTGTCAGCAAAGTTGGGACCACTTCTAAATGTAGTTTATGTTCCCAACCAGGTCATAACAAGAGGAAATGTCCTCTGAAACAGCTTAATGCAGTAGATGATTCAGATCTCTTTGATTACCATGAGCTATTTGAGGGTGAGGGGTAGGGTCAAGGGCAAGGACAGGGAGAAGGACAGGGACAAGGCCATGGGGAAGCTGAGGATGTTGGAGTTGATTTAGAGGATGAGGTTGGAGGTGATTTAGGGAAAGAAGTTGAAGGAGATTCAGAGGATGATTTAGAGATGCAGGTTGAACAACTAGTTGATGAAGAAGTGGTGAATCATCATGTGGTTGCTCCAACTTTGAAAAGGAGAAAGTGTGGTCCTTCTTAGAGGAACATAAAACTTAGGTTGAGGAGGAAGGTAGTGACCAAGGATGATACAGGGGGAAGTCTTGAAAATCCTGTAACACTCTAGGAGCAGTAATGGGGATAACTTTTGTTAGCTTTTTTTAGGGAATCTTTTGGTAAGTGCAGGACAACTTTTGGTAGGGAATCTTTTGTTAGGCACAACTTTTGATGTCTTGTTTACATTTAAGTTAAAAACTGCTGAAGCTACATGTGGTTAGGTGTAATGTGTATTTTGATAATGTATGTGGTTTGGTAATGTGTATATTTAATGTATGTGGTCCCACTTAGATAATGCATGTGGTTTGGTAATGTGTGTGTTTATATTTATGGACAAGGACAGAGACAAGGCCATTCCAATGTGTGGTCCAACTTTATCCCATTATATAAACCAGGAATCATTAATTCCATTTCAATATATAAACCAAGAATAGTTAATTCCATTCCAATATGTGGCCATTCCAATATATAAACCAATAATCATTAATTCCTGGACAAGGCCATTCCAATGTGTGGTTTGGTAATCAATATTTCCATTCCATTCCAGGAATCAATGATTCCATTCTTGGAATCACAATGACAATTAACCAAAAATCATTAATTTCATTTCTATATACACAAGATAATTAATCAGGAACCATTAATTCCATTCATGTGTGAAGAATCAATATAAAGCAATAATCAATATTTCCATTCCATTCCAGGAATCAATGATTCCATTCTTGGAATCACAATGACAATTAACCAAAAATCATTAATTTCATTTCTATATACACAAAGATAATTAATCAGGAACCATTAATTCAATTCATGTGTGAAGAATCAATATAAAGCAATAATCAATATTTCCATTCCATTCCAAGAATCAATGATTCCATTCTTGGAATCACAATGACAATTAACCAAAAATCATTAATTTCATTTCTATAGACACAAAGATAATTAATCAGGAACCATTAATTCCAATCCTGTGTGAAGAATCAATATAAAGCAATAATCAATATTTCCATTCCATTCCAAGAATCAATGATTCCATTCTTGGAATCACAATGACAATTACCCAAAAATCATTAATTTCATTTCTATATACACAAAGATAATTAATCAGGAACCATTAATTCCAATCCTGTGTGAAGAATCAATATTAAGCAATAATCAATATTTCCATTCCATTCCAGGAATCAATGATTCCATTCTTGGAATCACAATGACAATTAACCAAAAATCATTAATTTCATTTCTATATACACAAAGATAATTAATCAGAAACCATTAATTCCAATCCTGTGTGAAGAATCAATATTAAGCAGTAATCAATATTTCCATTCCATTCCAGGAATCAATGATTCCATTCTTGGAATCACAATGACAATTAACCAAAAATCATTAATTTCATTTCTATATACACAAAGATAATTAATTAGGAACCATTAATTCCAATCATGTGTGAAGAATCAATATTAAGCAATAATTAATATTTCCATTCCATTCCAGGAATCA